TAAGTCAAACAAATGGCCATCCATTGAGTTTCGAATTTTTTAGAGACTTGAAATTATTTTTAAAACTTTATTCTTTAAACTTTATTCTTCCAAGTTGAAGACTACATAAATGTTTGAATCATGTCAAATTTCCATGCAAATTACTCAAGATCACATAGATGGTTGTGAAATACTCTATGGATTTCAGGGACCAATTCTAGCAAAATCCCCCCAAAAAACTGACATGATAAGTCTCATAGCCAGGGTTGTCCCTTAGAATTAAAACAGCAGGGGCATTAAAAAGGTAGATGGGTGTCTGGGGGTGAATTCCCGGGGCGCACTTGATTGGGACCCTTCTAGACGCAGAGGGGAATGTGTCCGAATGTCAGAATGGTTGTAATTAGTATGTCTCAATTGAGTGTGTAGAAAGGTATTTAATATGGCGGAATATCAACTGCAATGTTCTGCAATTACTGCAGTTGTTTTTATAGAATTTCGAAAGGGCAAAGAGACAACTTAGAGTGAAGAATACATATTCAAACAATCATCAGAAAAGAAATTAGAAATACAAATAGCAACCCGCGCTGATCACCGTGTGCCATTAAGAATTGAACAAAACTTCACATCACTTCATTTCAACATCTTTAAAATAACGTTTTCTTATCGTTATGTAAAACAAAACTTATATATTTGGAAAGAGGATAAATTAAACTTTTGATCTATGTGCATATTTTTATGTTTATTAATTCATAAAAGTGTTTTTTGAAGCGTTAAAGTCAATACACACCGGTAAACATCGATAATGGCGAGTTTACAAGATCCGCGCGTGGCCTAATTATACGGGGTTCACGAGATCTAAAATGCGGCAGTCTAAATATTTATGAATATGCATGAAATTTTCCAACCAATCAGATCTAATGTCTCTCTTCAACATGGTAGTTGTAAGTAAACCGAACTCCAATAATTACCGAAGATACGACACCCCAAAGTTCATGCGACCCTGCCTGAAAAGTTTTCGGTAAGTAGTTTACTTACATATATATTCTTAAAGTACACATTCTGAAGTTTCACTTGATATAAGTTTCAACCCTGTGCAATAACATTTAGCCTACCGCATTTTAGGTTAAAGGTCAATTTCATTCATAAATTCTCACGCGTCACCGGGCGCCATCTTGGAATTTTACAACTCGAAAATACTACGGCTTTCAAATACACGATTTACCTAAAAACTAAAACATATTTGGCCCTACCATCATTGAATACTTATTAAACAGATTAGAAAGATGATTTAAATAAGTTTATTTATTGCTTTTGACGGGTGATTTCCACAATCAGTATAGTACAAAGAGTTGAACGAATTTCCTCGGATGTTCAAATTATCGTAATGTTTTCTTGATTGTTATATCATATAATCTTTTTTCATACAAAAGGAATGCCTTATTTTTTCGATATAAATTATTTATATAAACTCTTTTTCATACAATATTTTTCAAACCAATATAATTTTGACTATTTGAATACATCTCCACATGAACATGGTCATGCTCTGATCATGGTGAACAAGGAATCCCGTTTTTTCTAAAACTGTGAGACGAAATCTTCCCAGTCAAATATTAAATTATAGTCAATAAAGATGAATTATTTTTATTCAGAGGCATATAAAACCATGTCTCTGGTTTTATAGAAAATAACATAAGCTGACAGTATGAGAATTATGACTGTAACACAGTTTACACATATTTTGAAAATTATTATTAATGCACTACCCTTAGGATGTACAAAGTCATATAGGTTAATCTTTTTTTTTTCCTCAATCTTGGATTTTTTTCTACCAAGATTCCATATCAGTGTTTAAATATTTTTTTATTATATTTTCAGATGTTGCCATACACAGCTGGAGTTTTGGGACTGATAATCAGCTGATTTTTCAATCTTCCAAGATAAAATGGATGTCACCATATTTGTGTTTCCCTAATAAAACTATGATTTTTATACAATATTGTCTTTTTTCTGCATAAATGCTTTGAGATAGAAAAATAAAAACAGCAGAATCAGAAAGATCATAACTTTTTCAGTCAGAGTAGCAAGTTTTATAAAATTCTGCCAAGTAATAAATAAATTAAAAGGAAATAAGTTTAATAACTACTTTTTTGAAATGCACCGGGTCCATCCACAAGCGAGTTGACACCTATCTTTACTGTAGCAAGAAATTCTAGAAAACGACTGAAATTTTGCAACTTTAAACTCCCATAACTTTTGTTCTACTTAAGATATCTTTAAGAAATAAAAAGTATTATGCAAGTTTTAAGAACCTCTTTCCAATGAAATAAAATTTGTGTACAATTTCCCAACATAAAAAATCAGCTTGGGTTGCTAATACAAATAAATGAATGGTATGTGAAGTGAACACTGAATACTAACCTAAAATCTACTGTAGCCTGAAATGACTCCTGTTCTGTTATAGAGAAAAGACACAGAAAGCCTTCCCCACTCCTAAAATAATTGTCCCTGATTGCTGCATATTCCTCCTGACCGGCCGTGTCCAAAATGTCAATCTGCACTTCCTCTCCGTCTAACACAACTTTCTTTCTGTAGGAATCTGCCTTTGTAGGCTCATAATCTTCAACAAACTACAAAAAAGAAGACACAATATCATGTCTACCAAAAGAGTCAACCATTTATTTTTTTTCAATCAGATTTTTTAATAGACAAGTGAAAATTGCTTGGCACTTATTCAACTGGACAAGATGATATACCTCAACTACACAGTGGACTAATTTCTTATAATTGCTACATTAACGGAAGCAATATCAAAATTACTTAAGCTCATACATTGCTTTAAATATTGACTGAGAAAATGGCAGAATGAACACAATATCTGTTTTTATTTACTGAATACTCACTTCATCATACATAAACTGTAGGGTCAGAGCTGATTTTCCCACACCTCCACTCCCTACCATAATGACTTTGTGTATAACCTGTGGTTGTTGTGTCTTTGCCTTTGACATCTTGATCTCTTTTTCTGAATATTTTTTTTTCTTCTAGGTTCGGTGTATAATCCACCAGAACGAGTCTCTTAATAAAAAATAGAAGAAAAATTTTATAAATAAAGCAAGAAGGACAAGTGAAATGTGAATTACTACGATCAGCCAATTATATATGATACATGGAGTTTATAGATGTTGCTTTACTAGTATGAATCACATGTGAATATAATGACTCATCCTTAATAATATGATGATAATTGGTTATTTTGCGTTTTAACGCAATATCAGTTAAAAAGAATTACTGTAGCAAATGTATTTTATAATAGTGTTTTCGTTTTTTAATACGGATACTTGTCATTAATGGCAACAAACAAGCATTTCCGTGTTTTAAGTGGCTCATCACAATTTGGGTGTGACAATATAATAAAAAAAATACACACATGGAGAAAATGGCAAAGCATATAAAATTCATACCAAACTAAATAAATACTTAATGTGAAAATTCTATTTCAAAAGATTTTAGACTTACTACTACTTATTACAGAAACATATTAAATCACAATTTTTGCCGGCAAAATGATTTGTTTTGATTTTTCTTCCAGTTCCTGTCTGACCTGCCTCGACTTCTGACGTACAGGGCATGATGTTGAAGAAACTGAAAAGACTGCTCGTTACTTCTGACTTACCTTGTTTTCCTTATCACAAATAGTTGCCAGAAAAAAATATTTAAAACCTACTTATACAAAAATGTTCAGCACTTTACAAATCCATTGAATTTTCCAAAGTGGAAATGGCGATAATTAGTGCATTGTGGGAATTTCCCACAACCATATTTAGGATTGCATTTTGTCAAAACGCAAAAAATTGCCCTAGTTATTGTGTAGAACGCGCGGAGTTTCAAAATAAGGATTACAGCTTTTGGAGATATATATTCACAATGTAAATTATTAAAAAAAAAAAAAAAAAAAAAAAAACTTCTTGATCTCACGATATAAAACAAAGAACAAGAATAAATGAATGGATAAAACAAAAATACAGACATCTGTTCACTGTTGGATTGAATTTTTTTTTTTAGAAACATGATATTTCTTCTCTGTTCAAAAGGACCAAATCCTTTATTGAATTTATTTTGAGAAACATTTTGTCTCAAAGCGGGGGATTGTCCACGCCTTGTACGCCCTCTTTCTTTAAAGTAGATCATAATTTCATTCATATTATTATATTAACATTTAGGGGACGACCATTTGATTCTGAGAGGGGGGGGCCTGGCAAAATTTTTTGAGACGGATTATTTATTTTCATGCCTGTCGAGAACAGATTATTTATTTTCAAGATTATCAAGGACAGATTATTTATTTTCTTCTATGTCTTACCGTACCTTGATCAATTTTTTCTAAAAGACTAATCATTAATATACATGTACCATATTCGGATACAGGATTTGAGGAGGGGACAGGTATAACTTTGTTAGGGCAAGAGGTCTGGGGCCGCCGTAAGGGCCCCAGTGGGTCCTGGGCGAATCCCTGGTGGAGGCCAAGGGAGTACACCCCCAACCCCCCCGAAGCTCTTGGGGTTTCGTGTATTTTAAGAGTAAAACCAGGCACTATTATAGTGGTATTGGTTATTATGAACCAAAGTATGACAAAATTAATACTGGTCATACAGTACTTTGAATGAAGTAAGTTCAGGGAGCAAAGCCACCTGAGGCTCTTGGGTTTTTCAATATGTACAAGAGTAAAATGGTTAAATGTGTACCAAGTATGACATTATTAAGTCATATCATTCTTTGAAAAGGGCCCAGGGGGCGAACCCCCTGAAGCTTTTGGGTTTTTGTGTATTTTAAGAGTAAAACTACACAAAAAATATTACTATTGTCCCAAAGTATAACATTATCATTATTATTCATAACATACTTTGAAATTTTAAGGGAGGGCCTGGGGTCGTACACATGAACGTCCCCCTTAAATCCGCCAGTGTATATTTTGTATTAATTTATATGGAAAGTATAATTATTCGACAAGAAAATTTATCTTTTGTGGTGTATAAGAATTGGTTTGTATTTAAAGTTATTCATCACACCTACTAAGTGCACATTGTCATGTTGATAAACTGACTTAAGTATCCAGTCTGGTAATCTGATTTTAAATACTATTTTGATCTGAAATGGCGAGCGGAGCGAGCCAAAAAATTTTTTGAAATGAAGACTTTTGAGATTAAATAACACGTAAATAAAAAAGGTATTTTTACAATATTTAATTATCTGCAGAAGTCAAGGTCAGATTATTTATTTTCTCTGTATTGGAGGACAGATTATTTATTTTCAACATTTTCAGGGACAGATTATTTATTTCCAAAATCTGCCAGGCCCCCCTCTCAGAATCAAATGGTCGTCCCCTTAATAACCTAGAAGATAGATCGGACATTCTATAAACTAGATGCTGCCATAAAACATTGATATTAAAGTAATGTCTTTATTGATCCGTCATATTTTTCAGTTTTAAAAGGAATGTAATATTTTTTCTTTGAACAACTCGAACGACAGAGACCACATCAAACATATTGGACTTATTCTTCACGAATAACCACACTCTGATCAACAAATGTGATGTGATACCTGGCATCTCGGACCACGAAGCAGTGTATGTGGAATCCAGCTTGCGTGCAGTACGACCAAAGAGACCTCCCAGGAAAGTCTTCATGTACAGCAAGGCAGATCTAGAAAATTTTAGGCATGATCTACAAACCTTCTGCAGTACATATACCAAGGCTATATCAGAGTTGTCAGTAGATAGCTGTTGGGAACTCTTCAAGGACACCCTTCTAGGTGTAATGGAAAAGCACATCCCATCAAAGCTGATGTCAGGAAACAAGGTTCACAAGCCATGGATCACGAAAGAGGTAAAACGCAAGATGCGTAAGCGAAACAAGCTTTTTACAAAACAGAAGTTGAAGAAATCAAGTAAGATCAGAGATAAATACCTACAGGCGAAATCTGAAGCACAAACAGCTGTAAGGAAAGCATACTGGGACTATGTGAACAATATTATTGAAGTTGGCAACGCAGAGTCTGATATGCAGCCAAATAAACAAAAACGCTTCTGGAGGTTTGTGAATGCCATGAGGAAGGACAGCAACGGAGTGTCACCACTAAAGGACAGTGGAGTACTACATTCTGAGGCAAAAGACAAGGCGGATATTCTGAATCGCCAGTACGAGTCTGTATTTACTAGAGAGGATACCCAGAATATCCCCATGCCTCATGGTACACCATCCCCACAAATGCCTGACATTAAGATCTCAGAGAAAGGAGTCTGCAAGCTACTGAGGAAGCTCAATCCTAAGAAGGCCTCAGGACCTGATTCTATACCAGCCAGAGTTCTGAAGGACATGTCAGCTGAGATTGCTCCACTCCTCACTCAACTGTTCTGTAAAAGCTTGTCTGAGGGCATCGTACCAAATGACTGGAGAAAGGCCAATGTAACAGCTATTTTCAAAAAAGGTGAGAGATTCAAAGCCTCAAATTACCGGCCAGTTTCCTTAACATGCATATGCTGCAAGCTGTTAGAGCACATATTGGTCAGTAACATCATGAACCACATGGATAGGTACAGCATATTATCAGATGTGCAGCATGGCTTCCGGGCACGAAGGAGCTGTGAGACCCAACTACTCACATTATTTGATGACCTGGCAAGAGCATGGGACAAAGGTATCCAACATGATATGGTTGTATTAGACTTTAGCAAGGCCTTTGACCGCGTCCCACATGAGAGACTTCTCATGAAGCTACACCACAGTGGAATCCGTGGTAACACTCATGTATGGATCCGCTCTTTCTTGACCGGGAGATCCCAGCAAGTGGTGGTGGAAGGAGCCACATCAGAGCCCGCAACTGTCATCAGCGGAGTCCCACAAGGGAGTGTGCTTGGGCCTGTGCTCTTCCTCATCTTCATCAATGACCTGCCAGCTTGTGTCAATAGCCATGTGAGATTATTTGCTGATGATAGTGTCCTTTATCGCCAGATACACAGTCGGGAGGACTGCGAACAACTCCAACAAGACCTACACCACCTAGAGGAGTGGGAGAAAATGTGGGGAATGGATTTCCATCCAGACAAGTGTAACACCATGGTGTTCACCAGATCCCGCAACCCGCAGCTCTACAGCTACTCACTGAAAGGTCAGATGTTGGAGAATGTAGAGACCACCAAGTACTTAGGGGTATGGATAACTACCAACTTGTCATGGAGGGTCCATATTGATAAGAAAGTTAAGAAGGCGAACTCTACTCTTGGCTTCTTACGTAGGAACCTCAATATCACCAATGAGAAGACCAAGACAGAGGCATATATGGCACTAGTTCGGCCCACATTGGAGTACTGTGCCTCAGTATGGAATCCCCACACAAAGGATCACATCCACCGACTTGAAATGGTCCAGAGGAGAACTGCTAGGTACGTCACAAATAGATACAGGAATACCAGCAGTGTTACAGACATGCTAGACAGTCTCCAGTGGGAATCCTTAGAGAGCCGTAGGACCAAGGCACAGCTCGCCATGTTTTATAAGGCATGGAAAGGCCTGGTAGATATCCCGCTATCTCAGTATGTCACTCCATCATCAAGTCGAACCAGATCCACCCATTCCTACAGATTCCAGCATCATCAGTGCAGAACCAACATCTATAAGTTCAGTTTCTTCCCCAGGACTATCATAACCTGGAACACTTTACCAGCATCTGTTGCTGAGGCCCCTGACTTGGTACACTTCAAGCAGGGGCTTTCATCACTTTCCTTCTAGATGGCTCAGGGAGCAAGTAAGCTCTAGTGAAGTCAGTAGGCAATGCCGGGGAGACCTCTACTAGTAAGTCTCAGGGCCGCTACGGTTACCGGACTGGCTGCTGACAGAAGAGCTGAAAACTTCCTTCTTTTACCTTTTAACCGTTTTTACAATGAAGCGCATTGAAGTGGTAAAATTTTTCGTTGGGATGAAACGTTCTGAGTCATGTTTTGAACGTCAATTATAACATAATGACATGCCCATATTTCTAGAAATGAGAAAGAAATATTCGTCGTTATGTTTTAGGAAACCCCACTCTTCGCGACAAACGACATGAGTTACACTGAAATGGAGCTTTAAAAAGATAAGAAGGGAGAGTTAGAGACTCCCCGCTTCTGTAAAACACAAATTGCAACGAATATTTGCATATTTCTGAAATAATCATGTCTGTTGAAGTTACCAGAACACATGTTTCTGTCGAACACATGTTTACTCAGTGTTTATTTAGACTGTCAATTTGATTGGCTATTATATTTATGGAAAACCTGTTCTACAGGTATTCGAATAAACAAATTGACAGTTTTATCTATTTCTATAGAAATGGGCGTGTCATCCTATGACAAACAACGTTCTAAAGATAGCTCAAAACGTTCCATTCGAACGGAAAATTTTACCACTTCAATGCGCTTCATTGTACATTTTAATCTTTCTAACAATGTTGTCAAAGCGCTGCGCCGTTGAGTAATCGTCAAAGATGACGGACCAACGTACCATGTAGATGTAGATGTAGATGAACAAAGTATCAAAGAAGATTTGGACGAAAAACGTCATCAATGTGCGTTTATATAGCACATTGATGAAAAAGTTGAACTATAAATTTTCCGTGAAGAATATTCAGAAAATCGTTAAATTCTTTCTAAAATTAACACCATATATCATTATGTAGCCCTCTAGCTCCGATTTTTTTTAATCTGATGCCCCCCCCCCCCCACACACACACAAAAGGGGGGCCGAGGGTAGAAGGGTTACTGTTTAATTGAGTTTTGGATATTATGGACCTCACCCACGAGGGAAACAAATCTAGCCAAAAAATATCATCGTCGGAAACCCGGGTGATGAATAAAGATGAGATCACTCGTGGATAAAAATATGTGTACTTTATAATTAAAGAATGGGTCGTAATTTAACGCGCATCCAGGGATTTTTTTTTCCTCGGAGAGGCCGGTGGATCCATATCACCTTCAGCAAATGAAATTCTTTGATTTAATTCACGAACACGACTCTCCTTTCCATTTTATGAAAGGGTCCCGTTTTCGGGGGCAGTGATCCCGCATTTTTATTGATTTTACACAATCAGTAAGTTTCAAATTCCATGACCCAGGCTCCTCGCCTCTAACCAACCCCCTATATACCCGGTAGTGTTTGATGCAGACCTGGTCAAAGATGCTGCAAATTATCAGAACGATATTCCTGTGTTTAACCCCTTTAATTAAAATTCTTTGCAGCATTCCACCTGATAGATCCCATATAATTACATGTATGTATACTAGTATTTGATTTATTATAATCATTTTGTGGGTTCATCGAGAGAAAAAAAAACAAATTTAATTCAATTACTAGCAGGCTGATCCGATGGAAAAATGATCCGGGTTGCACGCTTGAAAAAAAATTTAATCTACTCATTTGTTCATTCATTCAGTAAATTATTTGTTAATTTACGGTATAGCTGCAGAATTGTAGCTCTCCGAAAAATATATTGACAGACCGGAGAGCTACAGATTGCGCACAAAAAATTACCTCCGTTCTGGATTCATTCCTTCAAATTCTTACCCCAATTGCAAAAAAGCTACATTTCAAAAAAGTCCTTACTCTTATATCAAATAATCTAGTCGTAAACATCTGCACGAAGAGCGTTGGGCCGAATTACCTTGCAAACCAAAATGGCAGTATAAACAGGCGAAATTTTCGATGATCTCAACTTCAGGGCCGGGGGGTGGGGTGGGGTGAGGGGTGGGGAGGGGGGGCTATTAACAACATTTGTAAGGAATGGTTTGTTGAGGAAACAGTGAGAGAATATGTTTGGAACACACGGTTAGTTATTTAATGTTTTGAGATGACAGCATTAAAAACATGGAAAGATAAATCGACAAACAGCGCACTTTTTTGTGCGCAATAAATATACATTTTTTTTTTTCTCAATGGGTGGCACTGTAGCTCTCCGGTCTGTCAATTATATATTTTTTTCGGAGAGCTACAGTTCTGCAGCTATTTACGGTATAGCATTATAGGTCACAAATTCACAACACTGACAAAGAAAGATAAATCTAGAAAAGCCGAGGTACTTCAATACAGAAAGTCAGCCTCGATCTTGTGTCCGCATTGTATTGGTGTTTACTTATTCGAAACTCAAGAGCATGCATGCCCCAAGTACTATCAGTTTTTAAACCGAGGCAGGTTACTGACAGAAAAATAAGTTGATGTTTACATCAGTCTAATTAAAATCAGACTTCTTAGATCTGCGCCGTATTCACTCTGCTTAACTTACACTTACGCAGAGTGAATATGGCGCGGATCTAAAAAGTCTGATGTTAATTAGACTGATGTTTACACTTACAAGGATTTCAACAACCTCGCTAAAGTCAGTGTCTCGTTTTTCTTAGTCGTAAGAAGGAGCTTTATATAAGTAAATGAGTTGTAATCTGGCCCACATGTTTTGTACCAATAATTTCGTTAGGCCTTTTACTGAATTTGACTGGAATATGCCGTCTTAGTTCTACATGATCAATACATACCTGGCTCACGGCGGATGTGACAGGTCGACAAAGGATGTTTACTCCTCCAATGCACCTGATCCCACCTCTGGTATTTCCAAGGGTCTGTATTTATGCCCTCTGACTCCACAGATTTGTTTTTTTTTAGATCGTCATGCATTGTTCGTTGTCTTCATCTTTTTCATCCAATTGAATATTCTACGAAGCTTGCTTTTTTAAAACTCATAAGTAGTTTGGACACCCTTCAGTTTTATCATTATTTGTTTTAAAAAAATTACATCTACTATACTATAAACATATTATATTATTTGTATAGTAGATGTAAATTTTTTAAACAATTCAGTTGGGGAGTGCCTATGCTCAAGTAATGTGTGAGTATTTGAATGATATAATTTGGTAATGTCCTTTATAAGCCTCGTTACGCACAAAACTGATAGGATTTTTTCGCGTGGTCAGTATATATGATTTATCCAAAGGTAGTCGATTGAAGACAACAAAGTGAAACCTGAGTAATTCTTTAACAGTGCTGAACTAACTCCAAGGTAAATATATATATATTACTAGATGTATCTGTCACATCTCATATTTGTTTTTACTCATGAATGAAAGGTAAGTGTAAGGTTACGGAAACGCGTTAGGGACAGAAGCTAAGCATTTGATTATACCTCAAAATACCTGCTATTGCCTACATATGAATAATTTTAAATCTTAAGAATTGATAAGCTTATTTATGACGCTAGTATTGAATATATATAGCATTTAAAATTGTTTATGTTTAAGGCTGACTTAACCTAGCTGCAAGAGTTTTACGACAAATTCAAGAAACGGACCTACAATCCACGAACTTCAAACTGATACTAGTATTATAATTTTTAAAAATTGACTATCTATAACTTACTTGTTTCATAAACGATAAATCAATTGTTCTTAATTAAATGTTATCACTTTTTTCTAGACTAAAACATATTGATGTTATTCTCACTATACATGTAGATCAGTGGCGGATCGAGGAATTTCATATCGAGTGGGTGGGGTCGGGGTGGTGAGGTTAGAAGGCGGGGTGGGTGGGTTTAGGGGCTTTCTTGAAGGCCCAAGCCCCTAATGGGTCCAGGGGCAAAGCCCCCTAAAGCTGACGAATTCTTACAAATAAGAGGTGTTATTTTCTTGATTTTAGTATAATGAACATATTTTAAGGTCCACATACAAAAAATTCAAACATGTGGGGGGGGGGGGGAGCCGGCCCTGGATCCGCCTCTATAGATAAAACCTACAACCTTTATTTTAAACAGTACTGAACCTCGATGACCAGGGTGTTTGTATACGGGACACTAAAAAATGGACAACCTAATCATTTTCGTTTGATGGATTCTGATTCTGGTTCTGCAAAATATATTGACCAAGGAAAAACGGCGGAGAGGTACCCCCTGGTAATAGAAAGGGTATATAATCTGCCATGTCTGTTACGTGTGCCAGGAACGGGAATGGTAAATTATTGCTTTAAATTATAAAATTTAGTCAATAATTAAGACTCTAGTATAAGGGTATGACTTATGACTGTTCTAGTTTTTATATTAATAATTTAATATGTTATAAAATTGCTAAATCAATCAATAAAGTGCTTTCTATGTTTGTAAAAGAGGGAATTGTAATGGTTTGTTTATGTCGCGGTAATGAATTCTTATTGCTAATCTTTTTATTAATATCAAATGTATAGGTAATGCACACTTGAAATGAAGTTGAAAAGAAGCTCACATAATTTGTTACTTACTGTTATGTAATATGTAGCACACTTAAATTTAAAAAGTAGCGGCAATAAGTTGTAATTTCTTGCTGTATAGCACATATTAGGCCATTCCAAGTTTTTTCTATATTTAGCGTCCGCCTGCGCCTTGGTTTTTGACACCCCATATAAGAAAAACACAACATGATCATCAGGAGCCCTGAAATTGATTAATTTAATTTCGAATTTTTGTCAATTTTTCCAAATAATTCTGTACAGTAAGTTATATTGGATGTATTTTAAGCAGTAAATCCTTTGTTTTTGCTTAAGAATAGATCTAAAGATCAAATCATTTGAAGGGCGTCATTTTTATGACTTTAAAGCCTGTGACTGTGTTCTATGCTTTGGCTTGTGTGTTTTTTTGCGAACAGGTAGCTAGGTTTTTGAAAGATGGGCTGACGCTAAACAGAGAAAAAACTTGGAATGGCCTTAAGTCAAGTTGAAAAGGAGCGTTAATATATGGAACGCCGGGACTGTCTTATTCGAGGATTAAATATTATATGCAGAGTTTCCTTCATTATATGCGGTACTATTTTTATTATATGAAGTAGTTTTTACATTATATCGTGTACAACCTCCATTATATGCAGTACTTCTCTCATTATATGATGTAGATATGTCATTATATTATGTACATCTATCATTATATAAAGTGCTTTTAACATTATATGCGGTAGTTCTATCATTATATGCGGTCGTTCTAACATTATATGCGGTAGTTCTAACACTATATGCAGTAAACACAACAATATGTTATGTACTTCTTACATTATATACAGCATATTCATCATTATGTGTAGTATTTCTGTTATTATGATGATGCTGATCGTTAAATATTATGTTCGGTCCAATTAGCATTCCGTGCGGTAGATTTTGCATTTCGTTATGATGTAGACACAGTATTATATGCGGTGCTTTCTTCTTTATGATGATGACCTTTCGGAAGCTACCCTTCGCAACCCCCTCTCTTATATTTAGAAAGTTTTATTTTCGTTCTTAGATATGAATATTCTTCATGATTTTAGGTTATATCTTTTTTTTTATTTATTTAGTTTGACAAAAACCACATATGGTGCAAGTAAACAAATATAATAATATAGTCACATGGATTTTCTTACATCAATTAAATGCAACACGTATGAAGTTACAAATATTTCTTGTATATTTAACATCTGCTGAATTAAGAATTTCATAAGTTATACATATATTTTTGAAAAGTGTACAAAATTCACTATTTAGTTCAGGCGCGGATCCAGAATTTTTTCTCGGGGGGGGGGGGGGGGGTGGAGGGGTGTTTCACCCCAGTCCAAAAAAAAATCAAAGCCAGGAATTTCTTGACAAGCAAAAAAAACAACAACAACAACAACAACAACAACCAAAAAAAAAAAAACAACGTACAATCGCCCAAACTTTAAATACCTATTACTTGGGGGGGAGGAGTCAATGACTTCTTATGTTTCAAACCTCTGACTTTTCCTACCAATTTAACACAAATTCGCGGTTACCAGGGGGGCGGGGGTCTGCGTTTTCAGAGGGGGTCCAAGGTTACCTTTTTCTTGCTTTAGTATTTGCAAAGTCCAGTGGGTGTTCTGACCCCATCCCATCCCCACCCCCTCTAGATCCGCACATGTTTAGTTGTTTATAAAGAGGGCACACACAAATAAAAAATTATGTTCATCTTCAACAACTGTTGATACAATATCTTTCATCTCTTGGGTAACATAATCTGCCAACCTCTATCTTTATATTTTGTGGACACTTATTTTCAATCGAGTTAAAAAAGAACAGAGATTCTTGGAATTGGAAAAAATTTAAGTATGGTTGAATTTCAAGCTTGTTTAGATTTCGTTGACTTATTAACTAGATTTATCCATACATTAATTAAAGGAATTTCGAAGTCATGTCAATAATTCAGTAGTTTACAATGAGAGCTAGAGAGAGAGAGAGAGAGATACGGCTTATTATTGAAATATTTTTTATCATTCCATTGTATTAATTGTTAAACTATGGCATATAAAAAATAGCTGATATTCACTGTCTTAATTTAACTGTACTATATAAATGATATGTATCAGGAAAAGACATACGATTTTCAGAGCAGACATTACACGCGCATAGTAACACCCTCCCCCTTTTCCTAAAATAACTTTTACTATTGAAAATGCCCAATGTTTTTTGACTTGTCCACTTTCTTCAGGTAACTTGAATAATTTTTTTTCTCCGGCTGACCCCGCCCCCTTCCCCCACTTTCAAAAACAATGCTACGTCAATGTATTGAGTCGTCGTGGGTTGTACTTCAAGAATTTACTTTTAAAAAGATATGTGGTAGAAATCCCTATGCCTATTAAAATGAGAGATAAAAGGGTAATTTACATTCTGAAAAATTAGCACACCCCACCCCTAATTACAAATAAATAAATAAATAAATGAATAAATACATGTAATGTTTTCTATAAAGCGCTGTTAAAGACCTGAGTACTCGAAGACATCAGTTATTTTTTTCATTTTGCATTTTGACATTGATTGTCCTACAAATGAAATGAATCTTTTTGAATGTCATATTGTTCACAAGAAAGATAGAAAAAATGTCTCAATTTTTTTTCACTCTTAAAATATTTCTATCATACCCCCCTTCTCTCTCTCTCTTTTTACTTCATACCATAAAATAGATGGAATTTTATTTACCTCTATTACCCTACTTCATATCTTTCAAAAACAATTTAATTAGTTCATGTACTATTTATTATTCACTGCTTTAATCAGAGACATAAATAATACGCGCATGTATTTATTGTACTGAATTCAACAGTTGATAGAAAGAAGAACCTTAAACAGAGAGTTCCGAAGGGTAGCTTCCGAAAGATCATCATCATAAAGAAGAAAGCACTGCATATAATACTGTGTCTACATCATAACGAAATGCAAATCTACCGCACGGAATGCTAACTGGACCGGGCATAATATTTAACGATCAGCATCATCATAATAATAGAAATACTACACATAATGATGAATGTACTGTATATAATGTGAGAAGTACATAATATATTGTTGTGTTTACTGCATATAATGTTAGAACGACCGCATATAATGATAGAACTACCGCATATAATGTTAAAAGCACTTCATATAATGATAGATGTGCATAATATAATGACATATCTACATCATATAATGAGAGAAGTACTGCATATAATGGAGGTTGTACACGATATAATGTAAAAACTACTTCATATAATTAAAATAGTACCGCATATAATGAAGGAAACACTGCATATAATGTTTAATCCTCATATAAGACAGTCCCGGCGTTCCATATTAATAAGTTGTATATTCTTATTACCGTCTTCCTTGGAAGACGGTATTGTATAGTTGAAGTTTTTTACAGTCTTCGGACTATGCACTTCCTCTCTTTTGTGATTGGTAGAAAATGCATGATGAGAAAATTTTCAATTATTTCATTGGTTGAAATGCTGTTCAAGGCAAGGGAGATAACTTTTTGATGATCTAATTTTCGTACGACTTAACAATTTTGCAAGATTTTCAATCTTAAAAAAAAATGACAAAACGAACAACAAAATCAGCAGTAATTAATTCCTAATAACATGATTTTTTGTATAGCAAAAAATAAAAAGATCTCTTTGACTTCATTATAAATAAAATTTGATTTTTATTGCTTGCAGGCTTTACAATTTGTTATTATTCTTTTCCCCTTTCTTGTTTGAAGAAGGAAATGGAATCAGCCGAGGTTTGCCGAAAGCTCTCGGCGAGTCAAAGTTTACGGAGATGACCGAGCGACAACCGTGGTAGGGCTAATGCCTGTAAAAAGCTAATGTAGAAATACAAAATCAAGAAATTCAAAAGAATTATACGGCCTGATAGGTGTAGATCAGTTTACAGTTTAAGATTGTTGCTAAAGACGGGAAGCTTTTTAAAAAAAGCTCTACTTGTGTATAGCGGTAATAATTAATTAATGTGTTCCTTCCGATAGAAGAACACATTGTTTATGAGAAATTTTTCATACGTAGTGCTTGTAATGAATGTTAAAACACGTTATATCTTCATATTAATATTGCTGAGATTCTTTTCTATATTATTCTAAACAGCACATCAAAGGTGAAATTTATGAAGTGGATGAAAAGAAAATGAAGTTTCTTGATTACTTTGAGGACCATCCAGAAATGTATGAAAGAACTTTAATATCGGTGGAACATCAAAACTCCGTAGAAACTCAGCCCAGTGTCTCAGATTCACACAGTAACTCTCAAGTTCCTCATAAAGAAAACCAACCGAACACTCTCTCCCAGTGTTGGTGCTATTTTTATAACGATCGTGATGGGTCACTAAATGACCTTCCTCGCTTGGATGATTACGATTCAAAAGGAGGTCACGGTTTAGAATATGATTCGAGTATTGATGCAGAGTTCGATAAGTAATTAAATTCCATATGTTTTATCACTGACGGTGTCACTCAAACTTTGTCTGATGAGAAATTTACTACAGTGTGTCACTTTTTTTCATGGAGCGTGCTTAATTTTCAAATGTTGATCACAATGTATTTCTCATCGATTGTTTGTTTGATTTCAGTGAAATAAATACTATACTTTGCATATATGAAACAGAGTACCCAGCAATACACAGCTAATACTGATTAATCGCATTGAATTATTGCTTACGACAAAGTCACCCCCACCCCCACCCCACCCCCCCCCCCGAAAATTTCAACAGGAAACAGTAATTCTTCCTCCGAATTTTCTCATCCCGTCAATAAGACGGAATGAGAAAATTTGAGAAAAAATTACTGTTTCCTGAAAGATTTCTTTCTTTTTTTTTTTTTTTTTTTTTTGCGTCAGACCCTTTTTAAGCCAGTCGGTCTAGACAGGTCTTGCCACGAGAAATGCAGTTGTGAAACAAAAAGGTATGGTCAGAGTTCAAGTTTTTCAAAAGTAGGTCAAAGATCAAAAGGAATAATCATATTAATATTGCTTTAGTAAAGCCGTAGCTTCAATCATTCAAAAGTTATGGCCAAGATTAAGGTTTTATTAAAAAGTAGATCAAACTCCAAGGTAATTGTCAAAATAATTCATGTCATATTTCAAGAAATACACATGTAAAGTATAAAAACCTTAGCACTAAACGTTCAAAAGTTAGATTAATTCCGTAAAATTTTGCGAAAGTGGGTCTAAATCAACGTCAAGAGGTCAAACATGTTAGTAGCAAAAGAGGTGTTGTCACAATTAAGAAACTCAGAGATGTCAAATAAAAAACCCATATATCTCCAACGAATCAAAAGTTATGCACAAAGTAAAAGTTTTTGCGAACGAATAGATGGACAAACAGAGCAATAGGCACAAAAAATTCGAAGACCATGCAAGTGAGACAGATGGACATGGTAAAAACCTTCGACAGGGTGTATAGTCGCCCTGCGCACCACTTTTTATATTCATTTGTTAATAATTCATAATTTTCTTCAGATTTTGAAATATTTTGCTTTATTAAATATTAAATTAACCTGGAGACCACGAAGTGAATTGAACTGACCGTGACCTGGTATAGTGTTCGAGGTCAGGTCAGGTCAGCGAGTAGGTCAGGCCGAATTTCGAATTGATTACGACATTGAATGTTGAAAGGACCTGGGGCCCGTTTTACAAAAGAACTTACGAAAAGTTCAAAACTTAAAAAGTGGATCATAAAATTTTTCATGATTAATGATTCTGTTTAAAATTGCTAGAATAAAAAAATCTTTAAAAGTACTACATTCCTTTCAAAAGAAGATTAAAACTATTTTCAATATATATATACTGTAAATTTGTAAGTTATAAACGTATTAAATTTTTAAGTTCTTTTCTAAATTAGGCTAATGGGCTGGTGTGTAGATATGGCCGGGGGAGGGGGATATGTCCCTGTCCTCAACTTCAGAAAATCAGCCAGAAAAGTTGTGTGAGATACATATAATATTTTTGACCTTGTCGTGATTTGAATTTTGCTCGTTTAAGGATTTTTTTCAAATATTTAAATTTAATTATTTTTGCATAAAAAATATTTGAGAATGTTACTTTTATCTGTATATTATGGTGTTCTGCAGATTTCAGTCATTTCGCCCGGTCCATTAAATCAAAATTATTACCGGTATAAGTCATTTTATGCCTAAATATATTATATCAAAAGAATTTGATGCATTAGAAATGGAATTCAAACTAACAGAAAAGGGGGGTTGAGATCTTTTACCGTCAGAAAATCAGCCAGAAAAGTTGTGTGAGATACATATAATATTTTTGACCTTGTCGTGATTTGAATTTTGCTCGTTTAAGGATTTTTTTCAAATATTTAAATTTAATTATTTTTGCATAAAAAATATTTGAGAGTGTTACTTTTATCTGTATATTATGGTGTTCTGCAGATTTCAGTCATTTCGCCCGGTCCATTAAATCAAAATTATTACCGGTATAAGTCATTTTATGCCTAAATATATTATATCAAAAGAATTTAATGCATTAGAAATGGAATTCAAACTAACAGAAAAGGGGGGTTGAGATCTTTTACCGTGAGCAACGTACCTTTGTGTACCTTTGTATACTGGCCTGTTAATGAACACTAAAAAATGGGGTGGGGGGTGTCCTCCTAGTAACTAAAGCGTGTCTGCTTTGCCAGGAATTTTGTAATAATCAAACTTTTTAAAGCCCCTAGGGGAGCCCTCTTTTATCATCATTTCCATGTTAATTTATTCAAGGTCATTAGTTGACATCCGGAAGTAGCATGCCTAAATGCACATTTTTCATGCCGCACGTGCATATTTTGTCATGAAAAGAAAACCTGCTGACTGACCCAGAGAAAATGGAAAATATCAAGTACATGTCATAAAAAAATAGGTGAGTTGAGTTATTTACCAATTTGCAATAAAAGCAGAGGGGATGCTCTGAAGCATGAGCACAAGCACTTGCAACTTCTGCACATGTATAGACACTACTCTACGGTCTACCGAGTCTCTGAATAAGTCATCCCCATTCTAC